AAAAATCACGTTAACACGTGTAGCCCCCTGGGCGGGGGTGACACCAACTCTAGAACCTTAAATGGAATGGGGGGTCGAGTGATACCTTATTTTAAAGGTCTTTCATTTCCCTTTATGATGATGTCAAATACATGAGCTTCAGTTCAGTAGTTTTGAAGATTTATTGATTTAAAGCTTAAAGTACACTTCAATAGATACATCAGATTAGTTTGTACTACTTTCAGAAGAAATTTGACTAAAAGAATTTACTTAATAAGTAAATGCTTTTCCTTACTCCCCCCGTGGTTTGTTTATTATTTTGATGTTGAAAATAGCTATTGGAGCGTTTTTTTGTGGCAAAAGGTTATTTATTGAAAAAAGATAACGAAATATCTCGTACTTATTTTAAATAGGAATTTAGTACAGTCTCCAATAAAAAAACATTGAAAATCCCATAAGGAACAAAGCAATGGGAGTGAGGGTTTTAGAGCAAGTTTATGTAGATCCTACGTTAAGTACCTGCAAATTGGAGACTGCGTGTGGTGTTAGTCGACGTACTGTCCAGAGGATTCTAAAGGCCCGTAGTTTTCATCCATATAGAATTCACCCGGTACAAGAACTTAATGAAGACGATTTTGAGAGGTGATTACAATTTTGTGAAGATATGAGTGAACGAATTATAAACGATGAACATTTCCTATTCAACTCTTGCTTTTCCGACGAATGTTCCTTTTTCTTAAATGGCGTAGTAAATCGTCATAACTGCCGATATTGGTCCGATTCTAATCCCAGAATTAATCATGAGGTTCATACACAGCAGCCACAAAAATTAAATGTTTGGGCTGGTATTTTTGGCGATCATTTAGTTGGTCCCTTTTTCTTACTTGGAAATTTGACCGGTAAAATGTATTTGGAATTACTGGAAAACGCCATAGATCCTGCATTAACAGCCAGAATTGAAAATCAGAATGATCGGCGGTACATTGCGAATAGGTTGCTGTTCCAACAGGATGGTGCCTCCCCACATTACGCATTACTTGTTCGACAATATTTAGATCAGACGTTTCCAGATCGACGGATTGGTAGAAAAAGTGCCATTGAATGGCCTCCAAGATCGCCAGATTTATCACCCTTGGATTTCTTTATGTGGGGTCATTTAAAAAGCAAAATCTATGCTACTCAGCCAACATCATTAGAAGATCTGCGACAAAGAATTGTGAATGAGTGCCTTCAAATTACTCCTCAAACATTGCAAAATGTGCGGCAACGTTTTAAGCAAAATCTTTATTATTGCATGGAGAGTCAAGGTGGCCATTTTCAACATTTACTTACATAACGCGTCAGTTCATTCTTCATTTTTAAATTACTTTGCTGCCAAATTTATTGATCTCCAGTAATGATGATGTATCAGTTTTATTTGAGCTTTAAATCAATAAATCTTCAAAACTACTGAACTGAAGTACATTAAGTTTATATCATTATAAAGGGAATTGAAATACCTTTAAAATAACGTATCAGTCGACCCCCCTTTCCATTTAAGATTCTGGGGGTGGTGTCACCCCCGCTTAGAGGGCTGCACGTGCTAACGTGATTTTTTGCCAAACTTGTGTTCCCCTCGATAATCGACGGGTCTGAGCGTTTTTCCAAAAAAATAAACTGAGCTGCCAGTAAATGCGTCTGTTTTGTGCTCGATGCGCCACCCTGTATAATACAAAGTAAATCGTTATAGAAATAATACAGATAATGCTTAGGTGTTTTGCTTCCTATACTCTGTCAAGTTTGTGATTTTTCAGTGTATATTCAGTCATATAGTATTCAGGAAATGGAAAATATTTGACCTTTGCTGGGATTAGGCATCAGATCATTATTCTGGCACCAGTCAAGAAATACGGTCTATATTTTCCTGCAAAAACTCTAAGCTGCCTTGTCTACGAATTGCTGAGTACACTTTTGGGTCATCCGCAAACATTTGGTCCTCTACTGTTATTATATGGTTGATATTATTTAACAAAAATCAAAAATGGTGGCGGACTCAAGCTAGAACCTTGCGGCCTCCAGTTGTTGGTATGTATGATTCTGATTTGAAGCTGTTATAATGCCCAAATTGAACGCGCTCAGACAAATACGAACGGATATCATTAAGTCCTCAGAAAACCCAAATTTAAACATTATGAATATTATTTCCGAAATGATACGTTGCATGGGAAATGCAGAGTCAACCTATGTTTTTCAACCTGAAACATTCACTCTATTATTTGCACGTTTTGCGTATTATGTGTATTGCAAAAGCTCTATTTGACTTGTAATTGTGCATTGAAAATAAAAGCGCTTACGTCTGACAGCAAATTCTCGTATTTTCAGTAACGGAAGTTGAATTAATCGCTGCAGACAATGAGTAAATTTAAAAATTTTTAAAGTGCCCCAGACTGTTTGTTCTGTGCTGTTCTCGCCAGTTATGCTTGTTTAACAAGCTCCTGAACCAGGCCAGGAGAAGTTTATAATATATTTAAACTAAGAAATGGGTCAAGCCACCACGTAAAGGCCACCTGGACTTTGCTGCAAGCCTTCTCAATTAAACAGGGTGCAACGTTAGATCTACATCAATAGCTATTTTCAAAAACATTGCGGCAAACCTAAACATTGACATTAACTTAACATTTATCACGCTTAGAAAAAATAAGAAAGATATAATAATAATAATAATAATAATAGTAATAATAATAATAATAATAATAATAAACGTCTCTTTATTGAAGGGCGAAGTTTAGCTTGAAGCTATTCTGCTCTTAACCCTTGAAAATTCAAAAAAAAAAATACAAGAACGATTATAAATATGTGAAAGCATATACCTAAGTATACTAATAGAAAATAATAAAATTTAATTATACATGTGAATGTACACAGAAAAGGAAAGAATTTTGCGAAGTGAGTGGTCAAACTATGTAGGTGAGTACTTTTCTAAAATGGCTTAATTTGTTTTTTAAAGTATTGTGATTTATTGATTTTAATGCCTGAGGTACTTAAATAATAATAATAATAAATAATAGTACGTTTATTGCCCAACAGTAATTACCATTTACAGAGCAAAAAGCAGTAGTATAGCGTACATGGTAGTTACAGCACAAAATGAAAATATCTTAGAAAAACCAGAAAAAAAACAGAAATAGATGTGATTTGTTCCTGTAAGATGATACAGTCCTCTTCACTGGATATTGATATATATATAAATCATCAACAAACAATAGCTTATTGCAATTAAGTGAATCACACAAATCATTGATATATAGTGAGAATAGAAGAGGTCCCAAATTGCATCCCTGTGGCACACCGCTAGTCGCCGTGAATACTTCCGATCTCACATTATTTACACATACATATTGTTGTCTATTAAACAAATATGATTTTAATAGCAAGAAATAATTATTTTGTAAATCTAGATAACAAAGTATCTTGAGGAGAATCTCATGACTGATCTTGTCAAAAGCTCTGGAAAAGTCGGCTTACATTACAGCAGTTGCTAATAGTTGACTGAAACTTCGTGAAACCGTGTTGATAACTAGAAATGCAATTTTTTGCTAGACTGGTAGATACGATCATGTAAAATCATTTCAAGGAGCTTAGCAAAATGGTTCAAAACGGATATTCCCCTGTAGTTAGTGATGATATTGGAAGCTTGACTTTTGAATATAGGGTATATTTTAGCAATTTGTCAGGAAAAACGGAAGTATTCAGGATCAAATCAAACAATACTTGAAGTGGCCTTGCTAGTACTGCTATGCAGTCTTTAAGAAAGAAAGATGGAATTTGATCTGGCCCAGAAGTGAACTTGTTTTTTAATTTTCGTCTAACTTTCCTTCAAAGTCAAAACTTAGTTGTTTATCAGTAATATCAGTTCCAGAGTAAACACTCTCAAAAAACTTAGCGAAAGCATTAGTGACATTTTTGGGATCATTGAAGATTTCATTTCCATCAGACATTTGTCCAGGAATCCTGGAAGCATTATTTTTTTGATGCATGAATGCCCAAAATGATTTCGGTTCATGTTTTAACTGATTTTGAATTTTTTTTAGGTAATGATCATAAGCTTCTTTTATTTTTTGCTTAACAGTTACTCTTAGCCTACTAAAATATTCATAAACATCAGCATTGCGTGTAAATTCGAATTTCTTATCTAGCTGAATAATTTCTGTTGTATACCAAACAGGATATCTATGCCTACATTTTTTATAGACTGGTACATGTATATCAAGTAATTCGTAGATCTTACCATACACCAATATTTTCCAAAAATGACCAATCAATAAACAGCAAATCCTGATACAATGCAACGAAGTCAGCTTTTTTGAAGTTGTATTGTTTATTTTCAGAGCGAACAGATTTGAATAACAGAGACTTGTCAGATGTCAAAGGCCAGTGACATATTCCAGAGCAAAACTAGATATTTATTGCTAAATTGCATTCTTCAATTACTACCTTAGTTTTCTCGGACAATAGAACGGTTTTTTTTACTCAAAAATGGTGCATCGAAAGAAAACAATTCAAGGGAGATCATTTGTTTTAAATTGAACTGGGAATTCAAAAATAATTTTTATTTGGCAAAAGACCATTGGTGTATCATTTTTTTCTTATAAAATATCGTAGTCAATACCCGTACACCAGCAACTGTTTAAGCTAAAAATTGTTTTTGCATTGAAAAATATGTAACTTTATCAACTTTCACTACGTAGTAAATATCAGTGAAGTATCTGAAGCGGTTCTGAAAATATTAATTAATTTCCATTTTTTTCCTAAAACTTCAACATTCCGAGTTTTTGTAAGGAAACACCCTGTATCTCTCCATGAAAGACGGAAGACTATTGCAGCTTTAACAGCAGTTTTAAAATGTTTGAGGCTACTGTTTGCAAGTTTCAAATCCCATAAACAATTTGCTGGAATTAACGTTTTGGACCTAAAATCGTAATTTTCTATGCTTCTAATAATTTCATTTGCTTTTCTAGAATACAACCAATCAGCATACTAACTGTGACACAGTTGCTGTTACCATGTTGTCTCTCATGGCTGTAATATCAAAGTTGAGGTCGATCTTCCCCACCCTGATGTGATTCCTATATTAATTACGGAGGCCCACAACAAAGCTTGCAGGGTATATATCAAGCATTCTGTGGGACATGTGTGACGTCATGCCAGTATAATATATGTTCGGCGTAGTCTTTGCCACAAGGATACCCGACAACACAAGTGGTTCACAAACACTCGACTTGGTTGGTTGCATTTTCATGGCAACACCACTATCAAAAGCTGAAGGAAACAATTACAGGGAATGTTTAATTGAGTATTTGATGCAACTGCGTTTCAAGTTGTTCAGCGCCGAGAAAATGAGCCACCATCTGTAACAAGAAATAGTAAAAATGGAGTCAGGTAGACTGACTCAGCGTATAATGTGAGGCATGCCCGATATCACTATGCTTAAGGCCCCTAAAAATGTTCATGAAGCGACCAGAATATTGAAAATAATTAAAAGAGAAAGGTTCGCATTTTTATTCGATTCTCTTTCAAAAAATTTTTTATATTCTATTCTATTTCGACGCTTTGACTCGAAAGCTGCTGTTAGACGTCTTCTTGTGGAACTAACGGAATCAAATATCTATGCTACAGGGGTCCATTCCGTATCCTTTATGTTCAGTTTCTCATTTTCTCTGTATAAGGATGTTATAGAGTTGCTTCCTTTTCTAACAGTGTCCAGTTGCAATTCCAGCTGCAGATCGAAGTTGTTGCCTGGACATAGACAGGTTTTTCAGTACTTCTTCACAAGAATATATGAGAAATGCCTCGGCGAATGAGCATCACACATGTTCTCCAACATTTTGTGGCTATGCACTTTTAGCGTAGCGCCAAAGAGTAGAATACAAGGATTTACTGGGTCAAAAATTCTGGTTTCGGTAGCCCATTCGCTCATAATGCTGCCATTAAATTGTGAAGGCACCAGTTTTGTTATTGGCGGTGGAGGCAGAGATCCATATACACCTAGGTATATTTGCTTTTCATTATCTACATCAATAACTTGCTTGCACATATGCTTCCAGGCATCACAATATACTATGCTGATGATACCACCTTGACCAATAGAGCATATTCCGGAAAACATTCAACCATTGCAATGGACGTGAGTGTAATCAGAATAGAAGAATGGTTTCTGCATAAACTCCTGAAATTAAATGCCAGTGAATCCCAGGAAATAGTATGTTCAAATAGTAGCAGCAAAACAGACTCAAATTTCAAAGTCTTGGGATTCATAATGTAACGTTACTTAAAAATAAGTTTGTATACTAAGTGACATATAAATCCGAACACCCAGTTTAAATGGTTTTATTTTAATAAAAGTTGGTGAATGTATTTATCTTACTGTAAATAACAAGTGAAAAAATTTTCAGCCTTATCAGTTGGACATTCCGGTTTTTATACTGCTTCTTTTTTAATTCACTAACGCTCTAAAAATGAATATTTCAGCCCCAGTAAATAATCAACGTTGGCGGATTTTGGTTCTTGACATCCTTTACGATCGGTTACGATGCCTAGAGTACGGAGACCTGTACGATTTCGTCAACTTAGTGAGTTTGATAGGGGCCGTATAGTGGGACTTCGGGAAGCTGGACTTTCTTTTCGGGCAATTGCAGTTAGAGTGCAAAGAAGTGTAGACACTGTGGTTAGGTGTTGTCAGGCATGGCTTCGAGAAGGCCGTACGCAAAGAGCAAGGGGCACTGGACGCCGCCGTAGAACAACAGACCGTGAAGATCGCTGCCTAAGATTATTGGGCTTAAGGGACCGTTTCTCCACTACCAGGTCCATTGCAAATGAATGGTTTGCAGAACACGGAAGACCTATTGGCATGCGAAGTGTTTAACGACGTATGAGAAGTTTTGGCTTGTTTTCATACCGGCCACACTGGGTCCTCCCTTTAACTCGAGAACACCGACGTAATCGCCTGGAGTGGTGCAGACAACGGTCACTCTGGGATCAGGAATGGAACAGTATTGTCTTTAGTGACGAGTCTCGATTTTGTTTAGGCATGCACGATGGTCGTGCCAGGGTTAGAAGGCGACGTGGTGAAAGGAGGAATCCACAGTTTTTTGTTGAAAGACATGTTCATCACACTGTTGGAGTTATGGTTTGGGGTGCTATAGTTTATGGTTCCAGGTCACCTTTAATCTTCATCAGAGGTAACATGAACGCCCAGCGTTATATCCACGAAGTTCTAGAACCCCATCTTTTACCCTATCTTGACACCCTGGCAGATCCAACTTTCCAACAAGATAATGCCCGACCACATGTTACAAGAGTCACAATAGACTTCTTCCAACATAACGATGTCACATTGTAACCATGGCCACCAAGATCTCCCGACTTATCCCCAATTGAGCACGTGTGGGATATGATGGGTAGGAGATTGCTCAATTTGCAACGTCCTCCTCAGACTCTAGAAGCACTTCGAGAGGAGTTGGTGGTTGCCTGGAATGAGATACCACAGGAGGACATTGACCACCTGATCAGAAGCATGCCTAGGCGCGTTGGAGAATGCGTAGCACATCAGGGTGCATCCACACATTATTAAAGGTCAAAGGGCTTTAAAGCAGTGCAGTCATTTTGAAATTTTTATCATTTACTTATTATGCTTCATTAAGTACTTATACAAAATTTTATTAAAATAAAACCATTTAAACTGGGTGTTCGGATTTATATGTCACTTAGTATATTTATTCTCAGAAGGTTGAGACCACTTGTAGACACATCAACTCTTTTAACTACATACCTTTCTGTGTTTAACAGTCACATTTCCTATGGAGTTCATTTATGAGGTCGTTTTTCTGTGCTCCATCAGACTGAATGAGAGCTATCCGTACAATTGTCGGTGCTAGATACCGGGGCCATTGTAAACCTTACTCATCTTAGGGTTATGACACTTTCGTCTTTATATATTTTTGCCCTGGTAAAAGAGGTACATAAAAAGAGAGATAGCAGTAATTTTCAATGGTTATTACTCGTATAAAACTACAGCAGCTGCGTTAATTAGACCTTCTAGATGTCATCTACAGAACTCTGCAAGACACTCCTTAGATGTATAACATGTTTCCAGACACCGTTAAAGACCTCATAATGCATCGTTACAAAATAAAGATGAAAAAAACCTATTTTAATCTATCGAGGAATATGCTATATCATGAATACGTGGATGGACACTACCTTCACACGAAATTTGTAATTACGTATATATTTATACTATGCCGTAAGATGATCATCAATTGAAGTATAAAAATGCAATTTTAGTTCTGTATATTCCAGTTGCCAGCAGCATATTTTTTGGTAACCGCGTTCGAATCTAGTAACGAAGACATGCTGTAGCGGTCACCGGTTTCAATGGGTAAGCCGAGTTAATTTAAGCTTGACGGAGTACAGATCACCGAGGACTTGATTTGGCAGGAACACATCTTGTCAGCCGCAACAGTTGCCCGTAGAAAGCTATGTTATTTGTTTAGGCTAAGAAGGATCTTTTCCCGCTCACTGTCCTCACTTTGCACAAGGCTGAGACAAGACCTAGCCTCGAGTACTGCTCACATGATTGAGGTGCTGCCGCTCCGACTACATTGTCCATGCTTGAGGAGAGCTGCTGGACTGATCAGGGACAGTCTCAGAACCCTTTCACATCAACACGCTCTCAGCCTTCTGGATTACCTCTGCCGCTATGTCAAAAGGCTTTTCTCTTTAGAGTTCTCCTCTATGATGCTGACTTATCCACCAGTCTTCTGCCTCTCTTCCCAAATCTGTCAAAATTCGCACATCGAGAACGGGCCTGTGCGACCGCCCTTTTGTTCCTACAGTGTAGAAGAGGTATTTTGAAGTTCTGTTAGCGTTAGGCAGGCCAAAAGTCTGATTAGCAAGGCATCTTTAGAAAAACGCTGGGCCTAGTTTTCTGGACCTGCTTCGTCACAAACTTCCCAGCATCGTGCATCGTTGAACCCCTTAATGGAATGGCAAAAGAGAACAACAGCTATCGAGGACCGGATTTCCGTAACTAGTTACGTCACAACTGGTGGTTACAGCGATATCGTTGTCTTTATGATACCAATATGGCCGAAGTTAAAGTGTTTTTACCTAATGACTTCCCTTCGGTATACTTCCGGGGATCTGCCTCACATAGTAGTTACGATTAAGGTGAGATCATTAAGGGAGGTTTTCTTATGGAATCTATTCTGTCACTTGCCGATCTGCAGAGATGCGTACGATGTGTCCCAAGATATGTTTGTCTCTCAGATTTAGACAGTGATGGACGCATTATTGTATACGCGTATACATTTGTAATTGTACGGGGTGGCCGATATGTAACTGTATAAGTCCAGTTCTTGAGAACGATGTCTAGTAGACGTCTCAGGGCGCTCCACCACACTTTCACGAACTATCTGGATATTTTCCGGAGTACGAACAGTTCGAACACGCCCTGACCTTGGCAAGTCTTTAACTTCACCTGTTTGTTCAAATTGGTGTTGACACGGTACAGTATTCCGACCGAAATCTTGTCGTAGCTTCCGAATCGTTGCAACAATCGATTCATTATTTAAGTAAAACGTTTTAACAATACGTACGCGTTGTGGGATCGTGTAGCGCTCGATGATGAATTGGACACATGTGTTTTAAACAGCTACTACGGCGCCACCTACTGAAATGCATGTATCAAAAAAGGGGCGCAGTTTAAATCAGTCAGTTATACAGGGTGTACTGGAAATTGGGGATTTCCTCTTCAGACACAACTAATGTGTGGTGAAACGTGAGCAAACAGTAAACAAATGAAAAAGTACTCACTGTCATAAAATTCGCATTTACATCGTTGTCGTACGTCGTATAACTGTACGCTGCCGCTGGCACTGGACGTGATCGAGGGATAGGATCAGACCGGCTTCGGTTTGGTTCAGGTTTTCAATTAAAGACTTCAGAATGTGGACAACACTTAGGTAAATCCGCATACGAAATTTTAGTTCATCCCAGTTGACTGTTTTGAAGATATTA